CTAGGTTAGTTCTTTCTTAAAATATTTGCAATGACGAAGTCGTAGTAAGATTCCGAAATATACATGCAATATCCAGCAGGTTTTGCAGTTGTGATTCCTACAGCTGTGTAGGAGAATAAACAAAATGTTTACGAAAACACTAGTAGACCAACGATCTAATAATTTTTCCTCTCACTCCTCGTACTCTGACAACGACATTGAAGTTCCTCTATAGGGCAAAATTCGCTATGGGAAAATCACATAGACTTCCCTTGACAGGCTTCCCTATTTGATATTGCCCTTTATGCTGTGGGAACTGCTCTGAGTGTACTGAAGGTAGTATTTAAAGGACGAGTGGTTCGGGAGACAGTACATTCCTGCCATTGTTGACTGTTCGTGCACCATCCTATCACAGCACACTAATGATTCCCTCCGTGAAAAGTCATACTAAATGTAGATGCAATTCCTCGTAGATTCGGTAGAATGTTGCATTCTCCGAGACTAATTCATAGCTAGATAAGCCTTGCCCTTTGCTTTTGTAGGAGAAGGTGTCTGCGACGACTCAGGAGTACAAGAATCTCTGAGGAGCTCTGCAGTTGGACGCCCTTCACGACCACACTACACCAGAAATCACATCAAATGTTGTGCTCTGTGCTTTTTGAATTTTGTATAATGGCTGGAACAATTAAGCGGTCACATTCAAGCTCAACGTTGTCCACATCATCGAAAAATTTCAAACTCAGTTCTTTGTTTTTCTTCTGTGCAGACTCGGCATGCTCCAATGTACCCACCAGAAGCTGATAGGGAGGTGGAGGGAAAAATTTAGGAACGATCCATTCTATCTTAAAAGGTAAATAAAATTAGAATAAATGGAAGGAGTGATTTCTAACGTGTCATATCTACTGCAATGGAGTCTGATTACTTGACGGCTCTTCACAGCCTAACGAATTCAAGTCTGTAGGGCTAACTCGCGAGAAATCCAAGGTCTCTTAGAAACTCAGAGCGCCTCCTTTCAGCTTAATTTCGTTACAAATGGATCGCAGCAGTGAACGTTGTGAACAACTTTTTTTTCCAGTGAAGGCCATCTATGTTGTAGGCTGGACTATATCCATGAATCTAGTTGTGCTGTCTGTGCGTAACAATAAACAAATTACAGATGTTCTTTGCGACAACTTCAATGCTAGGGCACATTCTCGCCTTATTTGCTGCTGTTACAGTGGTTTGGACAAGAGTAAGTTCGTACCGTATTTATTATGGCGCAATGAATATTCGCAGTAGAATCCAGAGGCTCTAGAACATGCTTTTTTCTTTTGAGTAAGGTATGAGGAACGAAGTGTTAATGTAGAAT